AGAGTCAGTGAGAAAAAAAATGAGTAAAATAGACCTTTCCTAAATTCTACACTAGCATTTATGAGAAGCGGAAAATGATAATTACAATGAGTAAGCATGTAGATTCTCATCCCATGGCATAAAAATTACAGATTAAGTAGGCAGGTCACTATACCCAGCCAAAAATGAAGTAATAAGAAATAGGAAGTATAGAGGTAAAAAGAAAACAAGTTCTTAACTGCTCTTTCATAATCCTCTTTGAGAGGAAGTATTAGTATAAAGTATGCTATCATTTTTCACAATTCAATTGAAAGAACTGTGCAATATCCTGGAGGAGGAAAGCTAGAGACACCAAAAGACAAGAATGGTAAGATAGAGTCAAAATATACAAGATGGTAGAGCCAAGAAAAACACATCTAGAAGAATCACTGAATAATAGAAGATATGTTGTCATAATAGCTATCATTTGTTGAGAGGCAAGCATTGTTAGATGTTTTTCAGATATTATTTGTCATCTTATTTATGATATAATTATTTATCATATTAAGCTGACCCTACAGGTAAGTGTTGCTATTATCCTAATGGTACAGATATGGAATTAAGTTTCAGGGATGTTAAATGGACTAGCAGAGCAATACAGCTACTAAAAACAACTGTGATCCCAACACGTAGTAAGTCTACAGTGTGTGGCTTCAGTGGGAACACAGTGATGGCTTTGCGAGCAGACAAACTGTGGCTAGTGGCCAGTGCTGCTCCCTGCAGTTGAACATCATAGAGCTACATTTTTATGGTTTCCATAGCCTCTTAAGAACAGAGTCAGGCTTTTAACTCAACACTTTTAAGAAAATATTAACCATTAGCTCTATTCATCATTGAACAAACTGAGATTCATCAGAAAGCTATATGTAGAAGCTGGCATTTATGTCCTTTCAATACAAAATCATGATGGAGCTCCCTAAAGGGTCTTTGTACCTGTGTATTCTGGCCAATGCTCACCTCCATTTCAGAGTATAATTGAGATTTAGGGTGTGAATTAATCAAGAATGCTGCTGCTGGACATAAGATCTGGTGAATGTCTGTTTAATGAGCCTGACAGTTCCTATTACAGGGCAGTGAGAAACATGAAATGAAAGTTTCTGTTATTTTTTATCATCTTTTGTTGAGAAATTTGTATCCTTAATTCCACCAACAATGTATATCTGTCAGTGCAAAAGGCATTTCTTATGAAAGCTGCCTGTATATAATCCACACATATTTGATGTAAAACGTTTAAATTCAATATGAACTGAAAAATGTAGTAAGGGAATATTCTTTGGAAAGCTTCACAGTTCCTGATGGCTGCAGCAGGAAAGTAAAAACAAACAGCCAGTATTAGAGGAGGAAGATCTTTGAGCAATGGGAGAATCTTAAAAGTGGTCATATTCCTGATAGTATCTTTTTAAAACCAAATTTACATAAGATTTCAACAGGTGTCTCCAATCATGGAAGATATCTGCCTGAAGAAACTTTTGAAAGACAAAGGTCTGATTTTTCTCTGTTTGCATCTTTTTGGCCTTTCCTCTATGACACAGATATGTGTATATGGAACTATAATGAACAGAAAAAGAAACAATCATCAAAGAAGCATTTCTTCATTGTATTCCTCAGAAAAATCAAGCTATAGAATGTTTAATTTGGTGTTATTCAAGCAATTAAAAATGTAAGAGCAAATAAGACTATAGAAAAATAGATAAACAAAGTTAAATAGTATCTTGGTTACAAGACTTTCCTGAGCCCTAACTAAGAAATTGTAAATTAAAAATCTCCAAGTAAATCATGTGTGTAGTGTTTATATAAGGTTATCCAATCAAGTAATATATGAAACATATTTATATATGTAGTTTAACATATATTAACACATGAGGCCCTCTTTACAAATATCTGTGGAAGTCATGTTTTATATGGCAATGTGAAATGCTGGTTTAGAGTGATAAATCAATATAACTCACTATAGATTATATATATAATAATCCATATTGACTTAGTCTGAGTACCAGAGGTCGAAGTTTTCACCTTTAAAAACTGAGAATGTCCTGAAAATCGTAACTGTTTTCTTCTTAGCTTAATATCTCTATTCATTCTAGTGTAAAGCACCATCAGGTCAATATGAGACACATGAGCAGGTAATATTCATCGGGAAGCTGTCATAAAACAGCTCAAAAAATGAGGACTCTTGGAGTATCATTATTGAGAGGGACCTCAACCAGGCTGACTTACCCAACAATTAGAGTTATTACTATGAGGCCTAGATAGGCCAAAGTAGCTAAGCACATCCTGTTGAAAGGTGCCTAAAATGAATCTGTTTGTATTGGACTTGCTACTCCTTACAAAATAAAACCTATAGAGACTCTTTTTGCCTGAGTGTGTTGCCCTTTTGCATCCAAGCCCAATACACAGAAGATTAAAACAAAAGTAGCTGGAGGGCTTGCTGTCAAAGCTGCAAAAGGCAACCTGTAATGACTAGCACCTGCTTGTGCTACTCTGTGAGGCTCTATTCCTACAAGCAGCATATTGTTCTAGCCATTAGCTAGCCCCCTTCCCCTTTTCCAATACAAGCCTTCACAAACTCTCCAGCATGACCATTTCAAAAGAGAGCTGGATCTGCTCTACCCCAGGTAATCTAGGTTCAGCTGCTAAGTGATTATATTTCTTAGTCTCAAAATGTTCATCAATCAGCAGAAATCAGAGCACCTATTTGTCAATGCCTTGAAAGAGAAAGTCAATTTTTAAAAATTTCCATATTACTTTGCTGTATGATACAGTCCTGATTTAAAGACATAGTCAACTCTTAAAACTTACTGTCAAAGAGAAATAGATGAAGTACTGTGGACTGATGCCAAGTAAGAAAGATAAGATACAAACTAGTGAGTCAGTCTGGACTACTCATTAAGATTTAATGATGTATTCATTTCCTCCTCATCCATCCATTTATTTGACAAACATTTATTAAAAAACCTCCCTGTTAGGTTTCAAAGAGAGAAATGAATATAAAACATTTTTTCTTAGGAGTCCAGTTAGTGTAGCTGTTTTAAAAACTTTGGAATGTGTATAAACTACTTTTAGTGATGGTTTAAAATGCAGATAACTGAATCAGCTTCCCCAACCAATACCATAATAGATTTTCATTCAGTTTGGCTTTGGTGGAGTCTAAGAAATCTTCCTTGTTATGATGATTATGGTTATTACATTACTTGTGGCCTACCGAACACACTGAGAAAAACAATTAGACATATGGTAGCCAGGATCCCCTAGTAAAGCTATTCAAAATGAACTGAGTGGTTAGGATATAATGCTTAGGAGGATTTCCTTAGAGTTAAGCAACATAGGGTCAGACCAAGCCTTCATGACTATGTAGTGACCTTGGACAAATTACTTGACCTCTGTAGCACCCAATTTCATTTGAAATAAAATAAAAATAATATTTTTATTCTTTGGGGCTATTTTGAGAATAAAAGCATACAATGTATGTCTGACACATTACTTGGGCAGCATAATAGGTGTTCAATACATAGTCCTAATTGTAATAATCAATATTGCATTGATGATGTTATAATCTTGTCATAGTGATGTACCAGAATTCAGCTATATTAATTTGCATGTCCATATATTAGTATAAAATTATATATTTAACATATAATTAATGTTATTAATTATATTAATATATATCAACAGATGTAATCTAATAGAGAGTGTGACTTTAACAAAATCCAGGAGAAATTCATGAAACTTAGAACAGGGAAAGCATTGTGTGAAAATTCTTCTATTTGCTACAGCATAACGTTTCCCATCGCTCTCATGCTGGGTGCAAACCAGGATAGACTGGCAGAATAGAATGTATTTTTTATATCATTTGAAGGTCTGCAACTTATAGAGGCATCAGCAAATGGAAGCACTCGTGCAAAATGTCCCCCTTTATTATTTTTGCAAAGTGGTTGGGTTATTTGTTTACATTTGCTTTTAAACTTCAGTAGTTTCAAAGGCAAATGGGAAATCTACATAATATTTTACTTCAATAATTTTTCTAAATTTCATTTTCTGTTACAATAATAACTTCTTTCATATGATAAGGTAATACTGAATACAGAATATTGATAGAAGTATGAAAAACACTTTAAAAATAAGATAACCATTCAAATAATTACTGTCTAGATATAACTACAATTTAAATTATTGTTTAGTCTTTTTTTACTGTAGTTTGTTTCACTATTGAATGCAAAATAAATGTACAATTTACATTCTAATTTCTCTCAGTATTTTGTATTATATTTTACATATCACACATAATATTTGATAACTGAATAATTCCATTCTTTTTCATCCATAATTTATTATACCAATCTTTATTTTGGTAAATTTTATGTTTTAAGATATAAAAGTAATTTTATACACCATGTTTATATACACATAATTTTTTCTTTTAGATAGATTTCTGGAAATAAAAAGACCAAAGGAAAGATAAAAATGATTTTAAATTTTGCAAGTCACTTTAATAAATTTCTTTCCATAAATATTGCACCAATGCTTGCTCTTACCTTCAGAGAAAAAAAAATTTATCTGTCAGGCAAGGGTGTAGCTCAGTGGTAGAGGACTTGTGTAGCATATGTAATGCTCTGTTTTTAATCCCTAGCACCACAAAAGCAAAAAAACCTAGTTGATGCTGAAGATGTTGAATGTGCTTTGATTATTGGCCATTATATTTCATTTTCTACAAATTATCTACCCCTTTCATTCATTCAACTGTCTACTGAAGACTTGATTGTCCTTGTCCCTTCATTTTTTTCTTCTTTCCTTAATAAATAAGTCGTCATTTCAGATTTTTTCATGGAATGAGTCCTGAGTAGTTCAGTATGTTACTTGTGAAACACAACGTAGAAGTGTATTTTTCTGCTTTCTCCCACAATAGTGTTATAAAAAGCTTACACCAAATTATATCTTGTTGAGTTTCTCTTTTATGGAAAATACATTAACATTTCCTTTCCCAGGCCAACTTGAAATGTGGCTGCTTTTAGCAGCAGTGTGCTGGATGCTTCTTCTTGGACCTATATATGGTTATGATGAAAAAAGAAGTAACACAAATCCTGAAGCTAACATGAACATTGTAAGTCATGTATTGAGAAAAAAAGCCCACTACAATAAGCCATTATTAAGCAGTTGTGATGTTAGATACACTGGATGTCTCTAATTTTCAGCAATTCTACCAGTAACTAAATCTGTGCTCCCTCCCCGTTACTTGGCATAGCTGAAATTCAAGAAATGAAAGATCTGATCCAAGACGGAGCAAACAAATTCTATCTCCTGGCAGGTTAAGCTGCAATCTAGTGGGGGCTTCCTGAACAGAAGAAGGATTCACAAATCAATACTGATGACTCCTGACTCCTGTAGAGCATCCTTGAGTTACTCTTGAGGCTTTTGGTATAGCAATGTTTTTTATTTTGTGGGGTATACAGTGTACCTTTTTGGTTAATAGCTGGTTTCTGTGGCTTAATCAAAATATCCCCCCGCCCCGTCATGCTGAGGATCAAAGCCAGGACCTCACTTATATATGCAAGCACCCTACCACTGAGCTAACCACATCCCCTCCAGCTCAACATATATAGGAACTCATACAAGAAATGGAATGGATCATTCTGGGAGAAGAAAAGAAAATGACAACTTTCCACACTAGGCTTCATTCCTATGCTATCCTCCATATTCCCAGGCACGCAGCACTCCGTTGGGGTTCTCCCTGACACCAAAGCTTGTGTTCAAATTTTAAGAACAAAACTGTCAAAGTTTTTTTATATTAGTGTCTCTTCTTGTTACTCCTTCCATACTATCTAGCAAGTATCCTTGACCTCCTACCATGCTGCCAAACTCAGTCTATAAATGTGTCCTCAAATCCAAATTCCCCTCTTCTTCCTCTATTCACACACATTCTTTTCCTCTCTAGTCTGAGTGTTTTTTGACTTTTCATCCTATTTCTATAATTATAATAACAAACATTTATAGGAAAATTTTTTTATGCCAGACGTTTTTCTAGCTAGATTATAAGTAATCCTCACAACAAATCTGGGAGTAAGTACTATTCTTATCTCCAATAGTAAAATGAACACAAAAAGGTTAAGTAACTCTCCCACAGTGACATTGCTAATAAGAGAAAAAGCGGGAATTCAGTGGCTTACTGTCTTTTTCTTGAGTCTGGGCTTTTAACTACTGCTCTGTGTAATGCCACAAATCATGTACGCATCTGTCTGCTTGACATGGGCAAATCCATAATCTTGTGATAAAGACATAAATCTTGCAGCTGAACTTGCTTTGTCATTAATCTTGCTTTATCTCTTCCTTAGACAAATTGCTAATCCTCTTGAACAGCTATGTCAACTGTAAAATAGGTACAAATCTATCTCAAAGGCCTTTTGTAAGGATTGATGAGACAGGGTATACAACCTTCATGCAAAAGACAACAGACAGATACCATTTTCCCTCTTCCTTGTGTACTTATAGCTGGAGCATCATTTACTGACCCGTTACTTCATGCTCTGTTCTTTTACATCTATCTCTTTGCTCAAGAGGCTGACTTTTAAGAACAGGTCAACAAGCTCCCTTAACCTTTGGTGTCCAGATTAGTCTAGCCAATGAAAATCTTGAGCATGAGCTAGAAAGAAAGGAGGACATTAAGGTCAGGTTTTTATTGTTGTCCTGGCTCTGTCCTCTATGAATTTAACTTATGACAACAAGCCATCTTTTTATTTTATTTTATTTTTTTTGGTACCGGAGATCGAACTCAGGTCCTTGCCCTTGCACAGCAGGCAGCGAAACCACTGAGCTAAATCCCCGGCCCAACAAGCCATCGTTTTAACCTGACCTTTTCTGCTTGACTTTCTTTGCTCAGATTCTGATAGCTGCTTCCTTCCATCTCCCTTCAAGACTAGGTGGGTAACAGCCACAAGATACTGCACAATCTCCTGTGGTTCCCCTCATTACATAACCATATAATTTTTGTCAACACATTTAAAAATGAACTAATGTAAACTAAAAATACCAGGCCAGCAGGCATAATCAGAGATTTTCCTGAGCAAACTGTGATGTAGAAGCTGAGTTGTTGAGTCAGCCCACCCTGCCTTACCCATGTCGTTGCATGCCACCCTTTCTAGGAATCCTCTGTAATTTTCCGAATTTTTCCAAGTATATGCTGTCCTAACCCATAAATTGAAGAGCAGGAGGTTACATTGTGAAGTACTATATTGTAGTGCATGTATAAGAAGTGAGATTGCATCATAAAGGTATTTTTCCTTGTTTTAGAGCCAGATTATTTCCTATTGGGGTTATCCTTATGAAAAATATGATACTGTGACAAAGGATGGTTATATCCTTGGAACTTACAGGATTCCTTATGGAAGAAGATGCCCAGAGAAAACAGGTGTGATTTATTTTGTTATGAAATGAAAAAAATATCTCAGAAGTCCTAGAAGTCCTGATAGCAGCAGGACAATTTTTTTCTGAAATAAGTTGCAATTCCTTCTATTAGAAGATGATCCAACCCCTATTTTTCTTAATTGTATTTTATTGGTACATTTTAGGTATGCAATATAATGACATTCATTATTGGAAATTTGCACCTTTACATAATCACTCTTGGTTCTTACTTTTCCCTCTTCCCCTGCCCTTCCTTCATCCCCTCCATCCCTCCCTATTTACAAAGACTTTGTTTCCATTTTTTCATTTTCTCATATTAATTCCATTCCCTTCTTTCCTTTCCTCTCCCTCTCCCACTTCCCCTTCCCCTTTGCCACTTTCCCCTCCATCCCTCCCTATTTACAAAGACTTTGTTTCCATTTTTTCATTTTCTCATATTAATTCCATTCCCTTCTTTCCTTTCATCTACCTCTCCCACTTCCCCTTCCCCTTTGCTTTTCTTCCTATTTCACATTATCTTTTATACCTTTTAGTGTTTATTTACATTTTCAGTTTCTCACACTAGAGAAACTATTCAGTATTTACACATGTGTGTCCTATTTATTTTACTTAAGAGTATCACCTCAATGTACATCCTTTTAGCTATAAATGTCTCTAATTTCTCATTTTTATGGCTAAGTAGTACTCCATTTTATAAAACACACACACACACACATTTTCTTTATCCTGTCTCCAGTTGATGGACAATTGGGCTGCTTCCAAGTTTTAGCTATTACAAATTGTGCTGCTATGAACATGGATGCACATATATCACTGTGGTATG